ATAAAAACCCTCCCTGTAAAGATAATCCTGGGACCAGATGGTTTCATCTGAATTCTGCTGAATTCTACCAAACATTTAAAGAATATGTTACCACATATTACTGAATGAGAAACATTTAAAGAACTAATGCCAATCCAATCAAGCTATTCAAAAAATAGTAGAAGAGGAGAGAGTGCTTCCAGATTCATTCTCTGAGGTCATTATTGCCATGATAACAAAACCTGGCAAAGACATATCAAAAAAAGAAAACTAGTGGTCAATATATCTGATAAATATTGATGCAAAAATCCTCAACAAAACACTAACAAACCAAATTCAACAATACATTAGAAAGATCACTCATCATGACCAAATAATATTTATCCCTGGGATGTAAGGATGGTTCAACATACAGAAATCAATGAACATGATATAGCAACAGAATAAAGGATAAAACCACAGACCTATTTGTAAGAGCCAGAAATAAAATTAAATACCTAGGAATTAATTTAACCAAAGAACTAACTTTATAATGAAAACTATACAACTCTAATGAAAGGAATTGAACAGGAAACCAAATAATGGAAAAATATTTCATGTTCATGGATTGATAGAGTCAATACTGTTAAAATGTTCATACTACTCAAAGCAATATATAGGTTTAATGCAATTCCTATCAAAACAACAGTGGCATTCTTCATAGAAATAGAAAAAACAATCCTAAAATTTGTATGCAACCACAAAACATTCAGAATAGCCAAAGCTACCCTAAGCAAAAAGAACAAAACTGGAAGACTCACATTACCTGATTTCAAATTTTATGACACAATTTTAGTAACAAAAATAGCATGGTACTGGCATAAAAACAGACACATAGGCCAATGGAAAAGAACAGAAAACACCAGAATCAAATTCACCCGACTACAGTAAGCTCATTTTTGACAAGGACATCAGAAACATACAATGGGGGAAGAAGACAGCCTTCAATAAATGGTGCTGGGAAAATTGGATATCTATATGCAAAAGAATGAAACTAGACACTTAGCTATCACCATATACAAAAATCAAATAAAGATGAATTAAAGTTGTAAATCCAAAATCTCAAACTGTGAAACTACCACTGGAAAACTTTGGGGAAACTCTCCAGGACATTGGTCTGGGAAAAAAAAATTTCTTGAGCAATACCCCACAAGCACAGACAACCCCAAAGCAAAAAGGGACAAGTGCAAACACATCGAGTTAAAAAGCTTAATAGCAAAGAATACAATGCACAAAGTGAAAAGACACCCCACAGAATGTGAGAACATGTTTGAAAACCACCCATCTGACAAGGATTAATAACTGGAATATATAAGGAGCTCAAACAAATCTATAGGAAGAAAATCTAATAATCTGAGGAAAATTAGGCAAAAGATTTGCATAGGCATTTCTCAAAAGAAGCCATAGAAAGAGTATCAAATGGTGCTCAACATTATTGATCATCAGAGACATGCAAATCAAAGCTACAATGAGATATCATCTCACCCCAGTTAAATTATATCCAAAAGCCAGGCCAAATGCTTGCAAGGTTGTGGAGAAAAGAGAACTCTTGTACACTGCTCGTGAAAATGTAACTTAGTACAACCACTATGGAGAACAGTTTGGAGGTGTCTCAAAAACTTCAGTGACAATAACTTAATTGTATAGCTTTAATAACAAAGAATGTAATTAGATTGTAGCTCAAAGGATAAATACTTGAGGGGATGGATACTCCATTCTCCATGCTGTACTTACTTTCTATGCATATATGTATAAAAATATCTCATGTACCTCATAAATAGATATACCTACTATGTACCCACAAACATTTTTTAAATAAAAAAATTTTAATTATAGAATTATAAAAAGTTTTCCAGCCGTACTTTGGAATGCCTATATCATTTTCAAAACCTTTCCTCTTTGAAGTTCTAAGTAAATGTGAGTAGAAATCCCTAACATGGGAAGGGTTTGATTAAATTTTTTCCAAATCTCCTCTGTTTCAGTAAAGGTACATCTCATTTTATTCTGTCTTCTGTGAGGATGTAGATTTGAAGGTTATTTCCTCTTTAGATAACTCTCAAATTTAGAAAGACAACATTTCCGAAGAATAATTTAAAATTCTCTCATGCACAAAATATAAAAATCTTACAATGTTCTAGATTGTGATAATTTTTGAAGCTTTTAAACAAGATTATCAAAGGCCAAATTATTCATCACAGCATGCACGTTTAACTAAAATTTTAAGGACTAAAATTATTAGGCTCTGACATGTTCTACCATTATTGGAGATGTTCTAATGTATTTTTAAAATTTTGCTATAATTTCAACCTTCTCAGTTTATATTTCTCTAGCCCAGATGTTTTGAAAATGCTCATTATAAATCTTAGAGAAAAATCATCTATTATATGCCTATCTACTTGGATAACTTATTATCTGTTTTATCACAGCTCAGTCATTCAACCTCTTCATTTCCTCACGTCTCTTCTTATGACTCAGATCCCATTGATAGTCCATATACTTCATCTCTTTTACCTGGCCCTTGGGTTATCTTTATTCCAGCATAGCTACTCGGGTATTTTTATTTCAAACAAATGCTTATTGATTTCCTTCCATGCTATGTATTGTATGTCAGGAACAGATAATGGGGAAAAAGATGGACTTCGATGAATGGTGCTGGGAAAACTGGATACGTATATGCAAAAGAATGAAACTTTTGCCCAATTTATTTATATTAGATGCATAAGAATTTTGTTTCAAGAGAAAATTCAAGTTCTCTCCAATTAACTCTACCCAATATTTGCAATGCAAATATGGATTCAAATGTGGAGTTATCCCAAGTATTTTCTAAAAAACAATAACAAATGTGACCACTTATATAAAAAATGAAAGAAAAAGAAAGTAACACACTAAGATGTGTTCTGGAATGACAGAAATTTTAGCACATTAAAATTGGAATCATTAATATCCAGCATAATGTCCATCATAGAGAACCCCCCCCCATTTTTTTTAGCTAGGCACAAATACATTTAATCTATACCACAAATTGTTTGTGAATTTCAATTTAACATATTATTTTAATATTATTGTATATTTTCTATGTATGAGATACTGTACTAGTCACTTAGTATAGAAAGTAGAAAAATATACAGTCCCTGTAATCAGGGAGTTTGAGTTTTCATAGGCATCTGAAAAAGTAAGTTGACAATGTCATCGTAGTATGATTAGTGTTATGATAAAATAAGTACATGATTCTATGGGAACATTTAAGAAAAATACCTTAGTGCTCAGACTAGAGTCATGTAAGACAACAAGGAATTTACAAGCAACATGAAAGGGGTGGGTACATTTAGGGAAGAAACAGGAAGTGCTAAAGCCTCAAGGCAAGAGAGATTATAAGGTTAGATAACTATAAATAGTTTTAAATGGCATGCTTTAGCACACATGAAGAGTAATAACTAGAGATAAATCCCAACAGCAAGGCAACATCACATCCAGAACTTCAAGAGCTATATAAGGGAATTGGGACTTATCTAAAAGTTTTGAGGATATATTTTAAATATTACAACTGAGAATGGAGATGACATAATTATGTTTCAACCCTAAAAATGTAAATCCTTTATGAAGAGCATAGACTAAGTATGCCATATAAGAATGTGGAGAAAGTAGGTGATTGAGCATATTATATTGACCCAAGTCAGAGATGAGTTATGAGCGGGAGGATGGAGTCATTACCTAAGTTGTGTTTTATGTTACTCATATGTAATTTTTTTATTAATAAATTGTTATATGTTTCAAGGTTATGGTGCAGAGTGGAAGAAATCTCTCTCTGCAAGAGAGTGTTACAGTGAGATAAGACCAGAGCCAGTAGGACAAGTGACATTGCTGTTGGAAATATTATAAACTAGTGGCTGTGAAGATGAGAAGTTAGAATATGAGACTTTGTGATTACTTGGATGTGGGGCTAAAATATGAATGATTCAAAGCTTTAAGATTAGACTTGGTAAATAGTTGTTTCTTAGAGTATATTTTATCTTCACTTTCTAAAACCTAAGGTCCTGGAGAGTAGAGGCTTTTCCGTTCCAGTGAAGTAGACTAGCCATCTCAGGTTTAAGAGCAAGGATGTATTTGAAGTGCTGCATGTATTGCTTTCTTCCCTCAGAATTTGTACAGTTCAATAGGACTATCCTGGAACAAAACTTTTAAACATGAATATGTACATGAAAGGTTGGAGAGAATCCAGAATGTCACAAATGAATAGCATACACTTTCTTTGTCTATGATTGGAGTTGAAGGAATGCAGAATGGTTTTAGTTACCTTATCAATATGCATTATTTATTTTGGTGTCCTCTAAAATCACTAAACATGCAAATTTTGGTTTCCACGTATTTACCTTGTTTGTGCAAACACTTTTTCATGTAATAGCAAAAAGATTAGTAAATGATTCTTCAATATAAGCAGTATTTGCTAGAAAAGTAACCAGCATACATAAGAAATGTGAATTTCTTATTGTAATGTTAATGTGACTACTTAGAGTGAGCTCTGAATTATTAGAGGAAAGCTTTGAGCAGATGTTTGAGAATATGGTGTTCAGAGAAACATATGATGTACCACAGAGAAGATGGTACAAGAGAAGCTGCCTTAACTGACCACATTGAATCAACCTGCAAGACAAATTTTACTCTCTATTCTTTAAGTAAATTGTATTCACTAAAGCCCATGACAGCACAAAGGCTTGTGGTCAACATACACATTTCTAATATGATTACACCCTTCTGTTTCTGTAACTTGAGATGTTTGCTTCCGCATGTTGATGTTGACTTTATTATTAATTTCCTATCTTAAAAATTTTGATTTATACACTACAGATTACTAATATGTTTACTAATATTTTAAAGAGATTTGTAAAGAATCTTAAAAATTATTTTGAAATTCATAGAAACAAAAGAATGTACTCTCTGTAGAAGAGATGGTTGACCCACCAAATTTTCTTCTGTTTTCACAGGAAAAGAGCTGAAGTAATGCCTATGGCTTCACTGATGAAGACCACACTCCCCAGCCTCCTTATAACCAACCTGTCTGTTCAAATCCATTCTCTTCAAGAAAATGAGAACAATATTTATGTGTGCAGCTTCCAGGTCAGTTACAATTTATAATAAAAGTGAAATCTCTTGTTTGGGACTGCTGCTTTCTTTAGACTGGAAAGCAGATTTTAGCAGTGACATAATTTTGGTCATAAAGATAAGGGCAATGTCTTATTAGTTGATAGTGAACAAGATGGAGAAAACCCCCCTTCCTAAAAGTTCTCAGGAGGCAGGATTACCCTGCTAATTATGCTGTTTCCTGATTTAGAAATGAACTTCTATCATATTTAAGCCATTGATTGTATTTTGGGATTTTCTTCATTACAGCAACTTAGCCTCTATCCCAATAGACAATTTTTTATCCATCAATTCCACTCATAGAAATATAACCTAAATAAATAAACATATTGAAAAGAAGAATGCTCATGAATACTTTTCTTTCTTTGCCCCAAAGGAAAAATAAAAAAAAACTTTCCTAAATTAAAATAAATGAACTTTGTAATTTTGAAGAGGAACCTACTCCACACACAAATGAGACTATCACAGCTCTGAATTCTTAAGGAAATTTGAAAGATTTTATCATGTCCCAGATATTGGACATAAGCTATTTCTTTATATGTGCAATTATCCCTTGAAATTTTCCAATTTTATCAATAAGGGATGTTGACAAATGAACATATCCTGAGGAAAGGTATCAGGAATCATTCCATCTGAAAAAGAGAAGAACGAACTGGGAATATTTGAAGAAGAAACTGTTTATGTATAACTTGATACATTTATCTAATTATTTCAGAACCACCCACTGTAATATAATTAGACTACAAATTAATCAGGGACAGAGTTAGGATCAGTCATTGGAAGCTAAATCACACCAAAACAAAACTCACCAATTTCAGTTCTACAAAAGGAATTAATGTGTGGAGCCTCACAAGAATGAAGAATGTTGTCCAAAAGAAAACTGAAATAGAGAGTGTTCAGCTAGGAGAATGGCATCTTAGATTCCTATTAATCCTGAAAATCAGTAATTCTTTGTTGATATTCTAGGCAGTTTTTCTTTATCAACCTAAGTTACTAAAAGTATGCCTAATTTGAAAATCTTGAATATCAGTTTTTGTTTATGTAATTATTTTCACTTCCTCTGCATACCAAGAACAAAAATTCAGGATGAGACTGCTTACTTCCAACTCCTTGATCTAACATTAGGAAAAGTTACTTGTGCTGTGTAATACTTGGTTTTGTTCGTTCGTTCGTTCTTTCTCTTTCTTTCTTTTTCTCTTTCTCTTTCTCTTTCTTTTCTTTTCTTCTCTTTCTTTCTTTTCTTTCTTTCTTTCTTTTTCTTTCCTTCCTTCCTTCCTTCCTTCCTTCCTTCCTTCCTTCCTTCCTTCTTTCTTTCTCTCTCTCTCTCTTTCTTTCTTTTCTTTCTTTCTTTTCTTTTCTTTTCTTTCTTTTCTTGTTTTCTTTTCTTTTCTTTCCTTCTTTCTTTTTTCTTTTCCTTCCTTCCTTCCTTCTTTCCTTCCCTCCCTCCCTCCCTCTCTTTTTCTTTCTTTCTTCCTTTTTTCCTTTTTTAGTTTTTTGATGGAATTTCACCCTTGTTGCCCAGCCTGGAGTGCAATGGTGCAATCTCAGCTCACTGCAACCTTTGCCTCCCAGGTTCAAGCAGTTCTCTGCCTCAGCCTCTCAAATCCTTGGATTACAGGCACGTGCTACCACACCCAGCTAATTTTTTGTATTTTTACTAGAAAAGGTGTTTCACCATGCTAGCCAGGCTGGTCTTAAATTCCTAAACTCAGGTGATCAGCCCACCTGGTCTCCCAAAGTGCTGAGATTACAGGCATGAGCCACTGTGCTCCCCTGGTTTTCTTATTTCTAAATTATGTTTGATGATGTCAATGTCTAGTGCCCAGGTTTTTATGAGTATTAAATAAGACAGTTCAACTGCTAAATATAGTTCTATTTTAAAAGATGAAAAACTGTGAGGTATTATTGTATCCTCCTTAATTAAATCTCACTTTGTGTAATTTGCTTTTACATTCTAACATCATTTAAGTAGTCCATTTGTAAAGAAACTAGTCATTTTTTATTATTCACCAAATTAAAATTAAAATCATCTTCACTATAATCAGAACCAACATTAAGAAATTTTAAATTACATTAAGAATTCAGTATCTCACACCTCTCAGATAGTATTTTTTAATTTTTAAATTTGACGAATAGTATGTATTTATCATATACAACATGATGTCTTGAAGTATCCATAAGTTTCTCCTGGTCTACATTTTTACCAACTGTTCGATTATTGGTCTTTAAAAATTTAGCCCTTGTGTAATGATAGGTCACTATTGTTACAGTTTGCATTTCTCTGAATAACAATGAAGTGGAGAATCTATATATGTTTATTTGTCATTTTAATATTATGTAATTTTGAAGAATCTGTTAGCTTTTACCCATTTATTGAATTTTCTAGGTTTGTTTTTGTATATTTGTGAAAGTTCATTTTTTAGTCTGTTAAAACCCTTTTACTGCATGTGCATTGCAAATAGCTTTTCCCAGTTCGTGGCTTATTTTCTTTACTCTGGTGTAAACAAAGATTCCTAATTTTATTTTATTTGTGTAGAATTTTAAGGGTTACAATGCAGTTTTGTTACAGGAATATAATGTGTAATAGTGACGTCTGGGCTTTTAGTGTAACCATTAATCAAATAATGTACATTTTTTCCCTTAACTAATTTCTCATCCTTCACACCCTTCTGAATCTCCAGTGTCTCTTTTTACACATTTCATGTCCATGTATACACATTATTTAGCTTTTACTTGTGAGAACATGCAGTATTTGATTTTCTGTCTCTGAGTTGTTCCATTTAAGATAATGGCCCCCAGTTTCATACATGTTTCTGAAAAATACATGATTTCTTTTATTCTTTTTTTATGGCTCAATAGTATTCCATGTTTTATATATATATATATATATATGTTTCAATATATATAATATATATTCAATATATATATGAATGTTTGAATATGTGTATATATATATATAAATGTGTGTGCATGTGTGTATGTATTTACACACACACTATTATATATATACACCACATTTTCTTTGTTCATTCATCTATCAATGGACAGAGATTGATTCCATCTTTTTGCTATTGCGAATAGTGCTGCAACAAATATACAACTGCAGGTATCTTTTTGATAAAATGATTTCTTTTCCTTTGGATAGATAACCCAGTAGTGGGATTGCTGGATCAAATGGTAGTTCTATTTTTAGTTCTTTGAGAAACCTCCTTTCTGTTTTCCATACAGGTTGTATTAGTTCACATTCCTACCAACAGTGTGTAAGCATTCTCTTTCTTTACATTCTCACAGACATCTATAATTTTTTGAGTTTTTAATAATAGTCTTTCTGACTAGGGTAAAATTATATCTCATTGTGATTTAAAATTGCATTTCTCTGATAAGAGAAATGAAGTTAAACATTTATTCATATGCTTCTTGGCCATTTGTATGTCTTTTGGAAAATGGCATGTGCTCACTTTATAATAGGATTATTTTGTTTTTGTTGAGTTGGGTTGTTTGAGTTTCTTGTAAATGTTGGTGATTAGTGTTCTGTCGTGCATTATTTGCAAATAATTTTCCATTCTGTAGATGGTTGTTTACTCTGTTATTTTGGTTGCTGTGCACAAGCTTTTGTGCTACTACAATCAGCATTTGAGAAACCCACTATATTAAGGCTATTTAAACCAAAAAACTCATGTATTTTAACACTGAATGCACCCAGAAGTAAAGTCATATGGCTCTACTCAACATACATTATTGTTGTATTCTCAGGGAAAAATGCCCTATACCAACAAAATAACTTCAGAAATAAAGAGAAGCAACTATTTCTGCAGATGCAAAAAAAAAAAAATCAGCATAATAATACAGGAAATATATGAAAAAAGCAAGTTATTATGACACTCCCAAAGCACTGCAAATTGCCCAGACCAATGTTCTGGAGATTTTTCCAGTGTTTTCTTGTAGTCGTTTCATAGTTTGGGGACTTAGATTTAAGTCCTTAATCCAGTTTGAGTTAATTTATGTGTTGAGAGGTAAGGATCTAGTTTTATTCTTCTGCATATAGATATCCAGTTTTCCCAGCATGGTTTATTGAGGAGACTGTTTTTCCTCCAATGCATGTTCTTGGTACCTTTAATGAAAATCAGTTCACTGTTGGTAGATTTGTTTCTGGGTTCTCAACAGTCTTCCTTTGGTCTCTGTGTCTTTTTCTGCCAGTACTGTGCTATTTTTGTTATTATAGATGCATAGTAAAATTTGAAGTCAGGTAATGCGATTCCTCCACTTTTGTTCTATTTGCTTAGGGTAGCTTTGGCTATTCTGGGTCTTTTGTGGTTCCATATAAATTTTAGGATTGTATTTTCCATTTCTATGAAGAATGCCATTGGTATTGTGAGCATTAAACCTATATGTTGGTTTTAGTAGTATGGACATTTTAACAATATTGATTCTTCCAATCAATGAAAATGAAATGTTTTTCTATTTTTTGGTTTCCTTTGTAGTTACATTTATTAGTACTTTATCATTTTAATTATAAAGATCTTTCACTTCTTTGATTAAATTAATTTCTAGGTATTTAATTTTATTCTTGTATAAATGGGACTATGTTAAATTAATATCACTGTTAGCATGTGGAAATGCTACTGATTTTTGCATGTTGGTTTTGTTTTCTGTAACTCTGCTGAATTTATTGATCAGCTCTTGTGTCTTTCTTCTGGAGTCCTTAGGTTTCCAAATGTAAGATAGTATCCTAAGCAAATAAGAAAATTGGACTTCTTTCAATTCAATTTGAATTACTTTTATATCTTTCTCTTGTCTAATCACTCTAGCAAAGACTTCCAGTACTTTGTTAAATAACAGTGGTGACAGTGGTCATCCTTGTCACGTTCAAGATCTTATAGAAAAGGCTTTCAGTTTTTCGCCATTCCATATGACACTAGATGTGTGTCTGTCATATGTTGCTTTTATTATGTTGAAGTATGTTCTTTCTATTCCCA